CCCCAAAACCCCAAAACCCCAATTGCCAATATCTAGATTAAATGTTTATGGAAAAATATACCAAATTAGTTATATATCTATTTAGTTAGTTAGCTATTTCTTCGTACTATATATAATTATTAAGTATTCCAAAGTGTTATGAGTATAAAAATTATGCTCTTCAAATATTATTCTATCAAAATTTAAACTTTTCCTTTGAAGTCTTGGACATATCACTAATTTTGACCTACTTTTTAGTTGTGTTGCTAGTGTCGTTTGATTCAATAGTAGTTTGATTTATATACTTTCTGAAGTCAGCAGTCCTTTTAGCTTAAAGAGTGCTGTTGCCATTCATATTACTAGTGCTCATCACATTGCTGGCATTATTATCGTCATAGTCAATGGTTTTAGTGATTAGTTTGTGCTTTATATTAGATGAGTCCATGCTTAGGTCCTGCTTGTTACTTGACATTTGAGTCGGATTGTTTCTTACGCTGAAGTTGTTGACAAATGAGTCTCTGGAGTAAGTTATCTTCTTTGGATTGAACATGCTCTGTGAAATCTGCACAATCATTGGGGAACTCATGCCTATTTTACTTGACTTTGTGTTTTTAGACTTTGAACTCTTTTCCAATGTTTTAGATGTGCTGCTAGATACTGATGATATAAAAGACCTCTGCTCCTTTCTATTCAAACTCGTGATTTTATTCCCAAGCTTAGTTATATCATTGTCGTTTTTCCTCTTTGAATTCCCTGTCATTTTGTATATATTTACGCTGTCATTATTAATCACACTATTAGTGGTACTAAGTCCATAGCTTTTTTGGAATTCAGCTTAGAACACTGGAGGAGACTAATGTCTGAATAAGGTCTTCTTCTTGGTGTTCTCTTTTGGAGACAGCAATAATTCATAGCTAGGTGTCTTGATGTCGTGAGCAGGAATGTGACTTAAATCATGAATATCTGAAGGAATGTATGTGTGAGGGTTAAATGACTGCTAAGGGGAGTAGACCTCTCTTGAAAAGTCTTTTTGATTTTCATTGTTCTTCTTAATTAGCTTGAAGTAATGTTTCAACTTGTCAGTGTCAATACGAGAGAGGATACGACAAATCATATTAGCTGCTATGTTCTTAGTTCTGCTCTCCCTCCTTGAAGACTACTCCTCCAGTTCTTGAACTGGCTTTGAATAATATTCAAACCTTGGAGATACCTCTTGGATAAGACTGTTTTTTTTGCTTATTGATTCTATTTTATTTGTCCCAAAAAAGCTGGCCTCTTTATTGACTCCTAAGCTGTTCATATTCATCATAGATTAGATCTTATTATGATTAGGGACATTTATACCTAGATTCTTTTTGGCACTTGATAATACAATTTCACTGCTTCTAGAATCTTTGAAATAGGTCTCGTTGTTGCTAACTGAGTTAACTCTAGCTATCTTATCATTATTATAATTCCCAAACTTTTTAGGATGCAAATATCCATTTTACTCGTTGATTTTATAGGATAGTTAATTTGAGTTCTTGATAATAGATATCTTCTCATTCTTTTCAATAACATCAAAGTCACTTTCTCTGATGTTCTCCTCCATAATATCACTAACATTATCACTAATCTCAAAAGTTGGGAGTCTTTAGAACTTATTTTTATTATTGGTGTTTTGTTTCTAAAGGGATAGTTGCCTCTAAGACTCATAAGTCTTGGTAATAAATTTTTGTAATCCATAGAACTTAATGTTTAAGAAAGTACTGCCGACATTCAACTATTGTTTGTTTTTAAAGAGATTAACCATATTAACGAGCTTGATAACTTTGTCTTGCTTGACAAGGGAATGTAGCTTATTGAAGATTGTCATTTACCTTTTGAAAAGTATTTTGTCAAGGACATTCAGCACTCTCATTGCTTTGAATTTTGAGTCATCACCATATTCATGAGAGAAGTTATCATCTTCAGTGTTTTCTTAGTATCGATGCGAAGGTATTTAAGATGTAACAACTACTTGTGATATTCTTTAGGGGGCATTCTCATTGAAGCTCATTTGACTGTTTTTATTAGTTGCCATTTGGCCTTCGATTTAGCTAATCCCCATAGCGCTCGCAGCTGTTGTTGTAGGCTGCAAATTGAATTGCTCATTAAGAGTTGTTATTTAAGCCTTCTACACCATTATATTATATTTTTAGTTTTCGTAGTTAATGCCCTGAGATGCCCGATTTTCATCTCTGTTGCTCGGGAGTCCGATCACACTGACATCATCTTCATAAATTACATCATTGGAGTCATAAATGAGGAGTTTTTGCTGATTCTTGACTAACTTGAGATTCTGCCCTGATTCGTTATAAATAAGAGTAGTAAGTCTGCCATTTTAGAGATCATTTTATGTGCGCAATATGCCATTGTTGTTTGATGTCCTCATTATATCATTTATTTGTGATTCATCCAGCTCATCAAGCATGAGAGATTTGTTGACTTGGAATAATTTCTGAGACATCTGAAAACTTGAGTCCTCCATCTAACTAGTCTAGCCAGCCAGAAATTCTATCCTTTCTGTTTAAGAATCAGTTTCTTGCTGAATAGCTCAAAATGTTCCATGGTTTAGTTTCAGTGAGCTATTGATTATTATATTCTGTTGTTTGTGAGAATTGTTTCTTTTGTGGAGAACTGGGATCTACTGGTGATAATGCTTCTGAATCTGATTCTGGTTTTCAATCACTTAATCCATTGTGTTTGTTTTCAGGTAGTTATTTCTGGGAGAGAACTGCTGCTTCAGATTTTCTTCGAAATCCTGAGATTACTCTATCTCCATCTCATCGTGTATTTTAATCTGATGATCCCTGGCTGTTCCTCCTGTTCCTAACTTCTCATACCTTTGATCTCTTCCACTTATTAGTTGATACTCCTATTTAAAGATTATCTAGTTGTCTAAACTCTTCTAAACCAGCTACTTCTCATTCTTGTCCTTTTTGTTGTAAAATTAAGTTATTTTCGTATTTTATTAGGAGTTTGCGCTTTCAGATATCATTAATTTTATTTACTTCTTTCCAATTTATTAATTAAATTTTATTAAATTCTCTATTCTACATTCACTATATCTAACTTCATGGGGTTTTGGGGTTTTGGGGTTTTGGGGTTTATAATTATCTA